TAGCCCAGGCTGGCCTCGAACTCACAGAGATCCGCCTGGCTCTGCCTCCCGAGTGCTGGGATTAAAGGCGTGCGCCACCACCGCCCGGCCCATTTTTTACTTTGTTATACAATTTTTTATGTACATATATGCATGTGTTCGTGTGTATGCAGGTGCATATGTGTGCAGATGAACAAGTGTGTGTGTGTGTGTGTGTGTGTGTGTGTGTGTGTGTGTGTGTGTGTGTGTGTGTGTGATAGAGGAAACTTTAATTGTCATAACTCAGGATGCCATCCACATAGTTTTTACAGACAAGGTCTCTCTCTGGTGTGGGGCACCCAAGTAGAATAGGCCAGCTGGCCAGCCATCCCCAAATAGCCATCTATTACATCTGGGAGTTACAAGAAAGTATCTTTCTAGTGTCTTGGCAAATTCTAGGTCTGGATGCTAACATTCAATCTTCTTTCTTTGGTGTAATAGACTATCTCCAAGTATTTCTTTAACATGTTTTTATTTTGTTTTAGTGGGGTTCTTTTTTTTTGTTTTTTGCGGGTTTGTTTTGTTTTGTTTTTTGTTTTGTGGGGTTTGTTTTGTTTTGTTTAGGAGATTGGTGGAGGTTGGGAGGTTTTTGATGGTTGTTATGGTTTAGTTTGGCCTGGTTTAGGATTTTGAGGCCAAGTCTCATTCTGTAGCCCAAGCTAGCCTCCAACTTGTAACAATCCTCCTGCCTTGCTCTCCTAAACGTTGAGATAATCGTTGTAAAACTCCACGCCTTGCTTTGAGGTAAAGCAGGGATGGGGGGAGGGTTGAAATAGGTTTTACTATGCAATCCAGGCTGGTCAAGAACTATGTACTACGAGCTGGCCTTGAACATCCACAAGTAGGCTTTGTATTTTCATCTCGGTTCATCAATTCTCGCTTTCAGTTAACTGATTTCATATTGATCTGCTACTAAGAAACTCATAGGTGATACACTGTATTCTTTATTGTTTGTGAGTAAACTGAATTGTGATGGCAATTACCAGTGACTGAAACAGTGATGGGATTGGTCACCTACTGTGATTCCCTCTGTTGTCTACCCAATGGTGTGTGTAGTGAAGACTGGGCAGTAAAGCTTGCTCTTTATTCTGTTATTCAGCAAACATCCTGTGGTAACTACATTTGAAACTGTTACTAAGGCTAGATGTTTAACTAGATAACAGTCACTGATCTTTATCCATATATGCACAATGCAAAACAAGGAATGCCTCCATATACACAGAATTAGAATACATGATTTCAAAAAAAAAAGAATGGGGAGGTTATGAATGATATTAAAATGTTCTAGAGTCTTCAGATTATCTGAGAAGTGGCTGCCCTAGCTGCTTCTCTGTTGTTGGAATAAAACACTAACCAAAAACAGCTGGAGGGAAGATAGGCTTTATTTAGCTTACAGGTTACAGTCCATCACTGAAGGATGCCAAGGCAGGAACCTGGAGGCAGAAACCTGGAGGCAGGAATAGAACCCACAGAGGAACACTGCTTATTAGCTCACTCACCACAGCTTGTTCACCTACCTTTCTTACACAGCCCAGACCCACCTGCATAGGGATGGCACTGTTCACAGGTCATGGGTCCTCCAATTAAGAAAATGCCCCTAAACATGCCCATAGGCAAATCTGATGGCGGCGGTTCCTCAGTAGAGATTTCTTCTTCCCAAGTGTGTCTAGGTTTGTGTCAAGTTGACGAAAACTAGCCAGCATAATGGTAAAGTTCTAACTTAATATCAGACTTCTATAAATCATAAATAAAGTTATAATCCATGAGAAAGTGACTCCAATAATTGTAGAAGAATAAATGACTTGTAAGCTTATAGTTGGGAGGCAGGAAAGAATTAACTAATGAATGTTTCAAAGGGCAAGAAATGAAAAGAAAGAATTGCCTGAGCAAGTAGTAAATTCAATCCCAAAGAATCATTGCATTAATGTAAAATAATAATAATAACAATAACAATTGAATTCTAACTAAAATACAAAGATTTCCATATTGTGCAACTTTAAAAATCTGTTTGCATATTGCTTGCACGAGGCATATTTAAATGCAATATGGAAGGGTTCAAAGTCGATCTACGTCACTGAATGACTAAGGTGGGAACAATAGAGGAACTCGGTAACTGGAGAGCTGCTTAATAACACAGGATCTGTGCCTTCACTGCTCCTTCTGTTCTGCTTCTGACTCCACCCTAGGGCTTCTCTCCTCTGCTGCTGCCTTTCCCATGATGTTTGTGAAGTTCTTGAGGACAGGTGTCTGCGAAGTTGTTGTATTAAGCAAACCCCTTTCTCTGTTCCTGGTCTCACTAACATTAACAAGTGTTCTCCAGAACGCTCTAGAACCTAGACTAGATGCATTTAGTGAATACTTAATTACTGATCTAAACATTAACTTTAACATTATACTTTCATCTACACGTGTATTTTATTTGAAATGAAGGGGAGTTAAGCAATAATTTCTTAATTAAATATCTTTGGTTTGGGTGATGCGTTCCTTGAAATATTATTCAGAGCAGGAGGAACAATAGTGGGAGGAGGAAGAAGAGAGAGAAAAGTAGAGAAGAGGAGAGAAGAGACGCAGGGAGTGGGGGGCGGCGTGGATGAACAGGAGGCCAGCACAGACTCCATGCAGTCCCTTGGGCATCCAGGCTACTGCAAGCGAGGCCTTTCTCAGATTTCCTCCAAACTCGACCTGGAGGGCTGGTCCCCTCCACACCGCTGCGCTGAACCCCGCTGTGTTTCTTCTTTACAGTGCCCTTGCTTTCTCAAAGCACAGGTAGCTTCCTGCATTCTTGGACTGTGGTCAAGAATTTCCAAATTGTTTGATTCAAATTCGCCCTCACAGGCATGTGGGATCTTATTCCAATTGGACTTTCACTGCCTCTGGTGAGAGGTTCTTCACTGCTTACCTCCTGCCCTCCTTCCCTTCTGTCTGTCCAAGGGCTGTGCTGGTTGTATTTTATCTTTTAAGTATATTTTCTTTAAACCTCTGTTGTGTTTCCCATTACTCCTTGCAGGGGGCCCCCCTCCCCGACAGCTCCTCTCTTCTCTTCTAGACCGTCACTGGGCAACCAACCTTCCTTACCTGAACGGTCCATTGCCCTTTTGCCCACTGCTGTGGGTGGGCTGCATGACCTTTCACCGTGACTCTTTGGTGCCATTCACTCAAGTTCACTTGTTCAAATAATTGCCCTTTATAAAGCAATTTATGGCTGCAAACCATACCTAGACAATTTTCAAACTCTCCTGTTTCCCATTTGTTTGTCTTTAGTAACAACTCAAGCTCTCCTCCCCAAATGGTAAATTCTAGCAAGCATGCCACTTGTCTTAGAAAAAGAGAGAGAAAACCACCTTGTCCAAGGCAGGATTGTCGTGTGAATGTGGAATAGGGTGCCCGGTGGCTTCACTCTGTCTAGGATAGAGGGAATTCCAAAGATACATGCCTTTCAGTTTTAAACCATGATAGTTTTGCACCTTAGGTAGGAATTTGATTGGGTAGGAATCATAATTTAATACTTTTGTTTGTTTGTGTTTGTTTTTTGAGATGGGGTTTCTCTGTGTTAACAGTCCTGGTTGTCCTGGAACTAGGTCTGTAGACCAGGCTGGGCTTGATCTCAAAGAGATCCCCCTGCCTCTACCTCCCAAGTACTGGGATTAAAGGCGTGTGCCACCACCACCCAGATTAATTTAATACATTATGGTTAGTGGACACGGCTAAGACCTTTATAATGTAAATGTAAACATTGATGAGTCTTTTTGTAGAAAATCCCAGTAGAGAGTGTTAAATTATTTCCCTGAGTAAGAATTTTCTCGGACAACACAGTTATTTAATGAATAGAATGGACCAGTAAGGTCATGCTCTTATAAACATTATGATATACATTGTAGAAGAAGGAATGTGAATAGTTTCCATCCTCAACCTCCTTCAAGGTGTGTTTCATAGTCATTGTCTTTACAGCACAATTTCAATTATTTTTTGCAAGAACATTGCAATACCTTTGTCCCTAAGTCTAGATTTGTGGAACTAGCCATAATAAAAACATTATTTGTAGAAAGCTTTCAACTGTAGAATACATCCAATACCTCACAAGAGCCAGTTGAAGGAAGAAGTACTCTTATTGTCCCTATTTACAGAGGAGGAAACTATGACTCAAAGGGATCGAGGACCTTATCCAAAGTGATGGGGCCAGAAGTTAAGATTCTACTGCAAGTCTGGCTATTCAATAGTAAAAGGGGCAAACTATAGATCTGTGCTGCAGTGTAGATGAACCTCATCTCACAGACATCAAGCTAAATGAAAGAAGTAAAACACAACAGATCACTTGCTATAGGCATCCATTTATCAGAAAGGTCCATGTAAGACGAAGTTGTAGCGATATTTTAGAGCAGGGTCTGAGTTGTAGCTCAGTGGTCTAGTAAGAATTTAGCAGGCACAGAGCCTTGGCTTTGATCCCAAGCACTAGGGAGGTTGGGGAGAGGAGAGAAGAGGAGAGGGAAGGAGAGGAGGGGAGAAGGTCTGGCAGAAAGGAAGTTGAGATAAACTACAAATGTCCACATGATTCTTTTGTCATTGATAGTAGTAATGTGTGTCCTAATGCTGCATTGTTATAATGATCGATTCTGCAAATTTGCTAAAAATCATTGAACCATGTATCTTCAATGTGTGAATTCTGTGGAATGCAAATTATCCTTGAGCAAGCACTTTTAAGAATTACAAGGAGCACATTCCCAGCTTTCCAAATATTAGCATGGACAACTGGACACAATACTCGTGATGGCCAAGCCTCAGGGGCCATCTACAGAAGGAAAGACTACAGGCCTCAGTGGGTTCTTACTGACTTTCCTTGTAAGCATAAGAAGTGCTATGAACCTCTTCTAGCCAATCTATGTGTGCCAAATATTTTTAACTTTAATAGTGACAGTCCATGTTTAGCAGTTGTTATGACACTTACAGTAACTATATATTCTTCATCAGTGAATGCACAAACCTTATTGTGTAAGTTACAAACTCATGTGATAGCGCCACACATATGCTGAAGTTTTAAATTATTGGCATCACAAACTAAACCCAAACAAGCCGTTTAGGCTCACTCTGTCCCTTTCACCTGAAAGTGCGATGAACACTCTTGGCCCCTTCTGCAATGCTGTCATTTGCCTTGATTCACTAACTTCCCACTCTAGAGGTCATTGTCATGGCAACATCACTGGCTCTTGTTAATAAAAAGGTGTCCATCCTCAGTTGCTTGCCAAACCAATGGAGGGGTTTTCTTTTCTACCAAAATCCAAAAAGAAAATGGAGAAGATAAGAAACAAAAGCCACAGACAAACAAAGCTTTGAGACTTCCGTTAAGAGAAAGGTAGTCCACAAATTCAAATTGACTGAGACCAAGTCCAGGAGGGCAATCATGTCTGGGGGAGGAGCTAGGAATCTGTGGCCAGTGACTTATAGTTCCTGTCCCACCATATAAATGTATCCTCGTCTGTTCATGAACTTTTGTTAAACTTTATTTATCTTTTGTAAAATCAGAAATGGATGCATTTTGCTGACAGTTCTCCTGTAACTCTTGCAGAGAAATCCGGAACACCAGAAGTTTAACTTACATAGACCCTAATGCTCTAACGGAACTGCCCTTGCTCAAGTTCCTGTAAGTATGGACTCCTTTCTTATTGGTGTGTGTGTGTGTGTGTGTGTGTGTGTGTGTGTGTGTGTGTGTGTGTGTGTGTGTGT